TTTATTATTATTTATTTATTATTTACTTTAAAACATTTATAATTTTGTTATTTCTTTACGGAAACATTTTAAATAATATTATTTCACACTGTACACAAAATATTCCCATTTGTAACCGGTTTTTTTGGAAAGCTTCAGCATTTTATCGACAGTTTTAAAATAGATTAAATTTTTGAAATTTTTTTTTCAATTTGTATATTACCGTTTAACTTTTGAACGTTGATACTGCATTGGAGAATACTAAAAACTCTGCGAGCTATATTATATATGTTATATAATACTAATCTGCAGCGGACGATTCATAGTAAACAAAATAAAGTTTTTTTCTACCAAGCATTTTGTCATTTTTGCGTAGGTCGTTAAAAGGTAAGTTTAAGTTTCCTCGCTTCTGTAGAATTTTCTTTTAAATTATCTATTTGATACAATAGTTTTTGTTCGTCTTTTTTTTTATTCTTTACCATAAGACTAATTATGATTGAAACGATTCATAAAATGTTACATTTAGCAATTATTGCTTAATTTACTAGAGAATTCAGCCTACTTGCTATGTTTTATATCTGTGTTATTGTGCTATGATATTGTTGTTTGTGTTATATTTTAATTTTTATTGTACATTTTGCATTTGTGTGATGTGCTAGGGACACGACTCATATTATAAAAATGAATAAATGAATCATAACTTTCCTTGCCTTGTCATTGGCCCGAGCCCAACAGCCAAAAAGCTTTTGTAAATATTATCATCCACGTGTGCATTTTGTTGGCAACGTCGAGTCAGAGATTTTTTTTTATCACGGTATTACCCAGACTGAGAGAGAGACGCTAGTTTTTTCGATAGCAACTTTAGATTTTCAAATGGGATGATATGTTTTTTCAAAAGTTTCTATAAAAAAAAAAAACTAATTTGGGATGGTGGTAGGAACATAAAAATGTATGGAAAACTGAGATCACATAATATAAAAACACTATGCAAAAAAATTCAATTATTAGTTAAACCCTGTGAGGTATTGAGTGGCCCATGATAAACTAATTCACTTGTATAATATAAGTCGTTAATTATTATACGCTGGATTACTTTGAACAACAGCATAATTGAGTTTATAAGTAGAAAACATTGTTTTTAGAGTCTAGTCAGACAGTAAGTAAAATTGTCTTATACGTCATTGGTTTTTTGTTTGTTCAATAGCGAAGTATTTTTATAGCATCAAACACAAACGTTTTTATTTACTAAAATTTTAGTAAAAGACAGTCCATTTTTTACTTTTTATACAGGGTCTATCGTGTAGGTTCCGGGTAGCATCTTACAAATAATGCCCCCATCTGTTCATCTATACTGGGTGCACGAAAAGAAATACATAGTTGGTCCAATTAATATTATACTTAATATAGGGACACAATGAATTTATAGTTTGAATAACTAAATAAAGAGTTGGCCTACCTAAACATTTAGTTTGCCGGACTGAATGTATAGTTACTTTAACTAAACATTTTAGTGTGTCCCTATTCTGTTGACCATTATGTTTGTTGGACCAACTATGTATTTACTTCTGTGTGGACTTATCTTTAAGCATATTTATTTAGAGATAGAACTTCGGAGGATGAAAACTATTAGATTAAATCTTAAAGAATTTGAAATAGAATTAAATATGCAGATGGACTTTTAAAAGGAATAATAATTATTTTTAATGTGTACGTTTTAAAAGTTGACATTGCTTTTTATTTAATAGATAAAAAATTGAATAATTTTGGCTACCTTATAATATTATAACTAAAATGTTAACAAAAATTAAATCAACAACACTATACTATTCAAGTAAGACTTAAAAGTTAACTAACCCTTATTATTAGGAGATAGTTTTTAAATTAAAAATTTTAATTATTCTCGAGGTAAAATTATAATGTACCCATTAAAATTGTTTTTATTTTAGGCTAAACGCTTGAGTTTTTACAACTATTAAAACTATCATAATTATTGTTTTTTAAGTATATAATAAACAAAAGGTTAAAAAATGTAAAATTGGATGGGTTAATCCTACCTGAATAAATAAATCATACAAACTCGTCCAAAAAATCAATGATTTTATTTGTTTTATTTAAAGCGCACGGTGTGGATGAAATCGATCATACTCAACTCTTGGTCAGCGACATAAGCAACCTCTATCTAAGCAACAGGTATGCGGTATTAAATTTGAACCTATTAAATTAATTGTATAACAATTTAGCAAGTTTGTCTTGTTTGTACTTTTGTAATACCGTAGCCAAAAATAGTAAACAAAAGTAGGCCGTTAGTGTGTTTCGTTTCACCAATTGTTGTAATAATTCTTATTTGCTTTAAATTAGGTACACAATGTGGCGAAAAACTTTAAAAGTATTATTTCAAAACTATCGATTGACCGGTCAAAATATATAGGTTCATCTTCTCCCCCTTTTCTGGTCTATATCTTCTTTCTACACTAAATTATTCATTAATTACATTATTTTCCATTTTTTCTATTTTAAATTAATCACCATAAGTCAATGAGATAGGATTGATACTTATTAATTATAAGACAAATTCTTTAGCAAACTATCTTAATTAGACAATACTCATGGTTAAGTGATACTTAATATTATTAAACAATTTTAACAAATGTTTCAGCTTTTCAGATGTTGATTTGGCTGTAGAAGGAAAACAATTGTACGCCCATCGTGTTGTATTACCCTCTCGCAGTGAATATTTTAGGTATTTAATTTTTATCATTAGGTATAATTGCTTAGGCCTTTCTTCTTGGGCGTGTGAAAACTTTGCTTTATTATTATTATAATTTTTTTTTTTTTTGGAACCACTAGTTTTGAACATCAGGTCAGAAAGTTGGAAATAAATTAAATCTTTATTTACCTGTATACGTGGCATTCAACGTCAAACCGGGTCAGCGGGCTCACCCCATAAAATGACCATTGGACTTTCTTGTTCGATATAACCTAAAATGAGACCCCTATTTTGTGTTATCTACTTCCACTTACTCTTGACATTGCTACCGTCTTAAATATTGTGAAACTAAACGGAATATGCCGATGGTCGTTTATAAAATTGAAAATAATTGTTTCATTTATTTGGGCACTCAAAAAAATGGTTTCATCGTTTCAAAAATGATATGAGTACAATATTGTTTAGCTTACCCCTAAGTTTTACTAGATAATTTAATGTTTGTAGTAATATTGTGTATTATTTTTAGGATGCCATTATACGGAAGCCCTAAAAAGTCTGGTCGGGCCTTGATGAAAATTAATGTAGCCCCAGTAACCATACTTAAAATACTTCTTGAATATTTGTATACTAGTCGAATAAATTTAAATGTTCTACAGGTAACGAATAATCAAAGTAGCTTAGCGGTTGTTAAACGGCACAATACAATTTTTATTAGGGTTGTGTGTTTGTTTGGCCGATAGTATTTGTGTGATCTATTAAATTAAATTATATGTTTTTATTGTTTATTTTTTAGGGAATAGATGTTTCCGAATTACTTAGTATTTCGGTTTTATTTGGTTTTTCAAACTTAAATATTTCACTACGCGAGTATTTGTTATACGAAATTGAAGTACACAGTAAAGAGGAAATCGACCATACTGAATTCTTGGTCAGCGACATAAGCACCCTATATCTAAGCGAAAGGTATATGTTATTAATTTGACCATATTAAATTAATATTTTAACAGTTTAGTTAGTTTTTCTTGTTTATACTTTTTTAATACCATAGCCAAAAATGTATTCTACTACGTTAACATTATAATATGTTATATATGGAATAAGATGGAAGAAGTACGCCGTTAGTTAGTCCCGTTTTGCCTTTTTTGGTTTAATAATTCTTATATTATTTAAATTAAGTAGTACACAAAGTGGAATAAAAATTATATAAGTGTTAATAAAAACTATATTTAACTGACCTGTCAAAATAAATACGTTCATCTTCTCCCCCATTTCTGTTCTTTATCTCCTTTCTGCCCTAAATTATTCTTTACTAACATTATTTTCCATTTTTTCTATTTTAAATTAAGTCACTGAGATAGGATTGATACTTATTAGTTGTAAGACAATTTTTTTTGGCAAACTATCGTAATTATACATTACTCATAGTTAAGTGATATTAATATTATTAAACAATTTCAATAAATGTTTTAGCTTTTCAGATGTTGATTTGATTGTTGGAGGAAAACGATTGCCCGCCCATCGTATTGTATTAGCTTCACGCAGCGAATATTTTAGGTATTTTTTTTCTTATCATTAAGTATAATTCCTTAGGCCTTTCTTTTTGGGCGGGTGAAAACTTTGTTTTATTATTATTATAATTTTTTTTTTTAATTTTTGAACATCTAATCTGAAAGTTGAGCATAATTTTAATCTTTATTCAACTGTTTATGGGGAATTCTACGTCAAACCGGGCCATAAGTCTCACCCCTCAAGGGATACTCAAAATAAATGGTTTCATCATACCAGAAGTACAATTGTCTAGCTTACCCCTCAAAAGGGTAACATATCACTCCATAATTTAACGTTTGTAGTAATGGTGTGTATTATTCTTAGGAGAGCATTTTACGGAGGCCTTAGAGAAGCCAATCAGTCTACGATGGAAATTAATGAAGTCCCATTAACCACATTTAAAATACTTCTTGGATATATTTACACTGGTCGAATAAATTTAAGTGATCTAGAGGTAACGAATAACCGACGTAGCTTAGTGGTTATTAAGTTAAGCTTAGTGTTTACTGGCACAATATAATTAGTATTAGGGTTGTGTGATCGTTTGGATAGTATGTGTTTGGACTGTTAAATTAAATTATATGTTTAATCAAAACAGGTGAATAAAAAAGATAAATGACATTATTTATTCTTTATTTTTTAGGGTGGTGAGATTTTCGAACTAAGACGTGTTTCGGATTTATTTAGCTTTTTAAACTTAAAACACTTATTAGGCGAGTATTTGAAAAAAAAAATAGAAGTACACAATGTATGTTCGTTCTTTGATATGACACGGCTTTATCAATACAAGGATCTTGAAGTCGAATCAATCAACTTTATTGATATCCATGCTTTGGATGTATTGCAGTCAGATGATTTTCTTTCTTTGTCATCCGTAATGAGTTTTTTTTTAAATAAAAAAATGGCATTGTTAATGTTAATTGAAAAGTTGAGAAACAATTTTTTCTTTTAGGAAGCTCTTCATGAAATCTTAAAACGTGACTCGTTTTGTGCTAACGAATTAGTTATATTCCGTATGGTTTGTCGCTGGATCAATGAGAACCAAATCGACGTGGATCCTGATACTAAAATCAGAGTTTTATCTGCCGTCAGGTATCCGTTAATGAGCGATGAAGAACTGTCCGAGGCTAGGAAATCACAAGTGGGCAGTACAGTTTCTAATGTCATACAATTTAAAAACACGTGGTCACCAGATGAGCCTAAACTTCGCGGACAACTAAGTATGCTTGCTGTACACATCAATTTGTAATTCGCCAATTATGTTGGTTTCAATTATTTAATTTTTTAGAATCCGATGTGAATCTTATTAATGAGTCTCAGAGTTATCCTCCAATCCGTGGCAATGATGGCGGTACTTATATGTTAACGTTGGACCATCCTTCATTTATAAACTATATTGAATTATTGTTATCAGATGGAATTGCCACGAATCCAAAGTATGTTTTGAATTTAAAAATATTTTAAATTAAAATGGCTATTATATATAAATAAAATGTATTTGAATAGTTATTCAAAACATACGTAACTAATGAACTGATTAAAATTGATTTTCGTTTATGTATAACTATTTTATTTTATGAGCATTTGATTTAATTTTAGGTAAACCAAACAAATTTATAAATTTTTGTTCTTAATAAATAATAATTGTACAATGTTGTCTATAATTTGTTTTTATAATTCTACAGCTCTGTTCCCATTATTTAGTTTTCTATGCTATTTTACAAATAACTACTCTACAAGTTATTCGAATTGTTTGATACTTTAGGTTTTACTCTTATTACATTCAAGTTTCACTCGATGAGCGCCAATGGATAAATGTTTTAGATCACTCAATTTATAATTGTCGATCAATTCAAAAATTGTGGATTCATCCACGCATGGTTCGGTATATACGCTTTGTTGGAACCAAAAGAACCTCCCATGTGCTTTTTAAAATTAGGGATGTCAGTTACAATAAACGCGAAATGCACATGGTGGAAATCAAAAATGGATTAGTCGGTAAGAAAACCAACGGAGTGACTAATTTTTTTAATATAAAAATATGCTTATTTATGTATAAATACATATTTGTTTAATTTATTTATTTTAATCAAGCTCCTAAACACATGTATAATGTCGCTTCAAGATGTATGAATGCGTCTGTAATCAAAGGTACAAATAGTGTTAGTGATTGCTCGCTATTAGATCACTACTGTGAAAGCTCGTCTAGGTTTGAAGAATACACATGGCATTGGATAGGATCGAGTTCTATAGTGGTTCACCTTGTACAACCGTATATACTTAGCTCAATAAGGTAATAGTATAAATATCTTGCAATTTTTATAGCACTATTTGTTTATAGTACATTTTAATGTACTATGCTGACCAGGCCAACATCTTTTGACAATTTTTTTTTTATCATTTCCGGTAGTTGGAATGAATTCTTTAATTCATACACTGTCTATAAATAATTTCTCTATAAATTGTTCAATCAAACTCTACAAGATGTGTTTCTTATATCCTTTACAGAGCCTAAGTCTCCAACTCGTGCAAAAAATCTATTTATTAGAATCTTACTTAATTAAATTTTATGTCTTGTAGAAGATCCCAATTTATTTCTCAGGATTGCCCTCATTCCCTCAATTTGTATTATTGCATTTTTACTAGCTAAACTTATCAATACAGTATAAATTCTTGTTTATTTTTATATTTTAAAACTGGTCTGTAGTTCATTAAAACAATTAGCAACTAGATAACATTAATAAAAATAACAAAATTAAAATCATTTTGATTCTAATTTTAGTTAGAACATTTACAGGATATTTATAGCATAAATAAGATATTGGCCGCAGTATCTGTTATTCATGACTTTTATTATTTATTAGCTGTACCCGCATGACGTTGCCCGTGCCCTTTTGTAGTATAATATTGCGAAGTTTTTCAAGCAAGATATAAAATTGTTAGACTAAGTGTTAGATAACATATAATGCTCTAATTTATATCTCGTTTATCCCATTACATCTAATGATTTACATCTAAAAATGAATAATTGATGTACTTGTACCCTCCCAACATTCAAGTTTTTTTGGTTTTTTTAAGTTTAACTTATAAAAGATAATTTCAGTGACATAAGATAGGGCTATTGTTCTTATCATTTCTAATCATCATTCATCATCATACTGTAAAATTTGTTTTAAACTTTTATAAGCAACTTTTTTTTTTTTTAAAAAATGAGATTTTAATTTAACATTGATTTTAATTTTTTTTTTATTGTTCTCATCATTTCTAATCATCATTCATCATCATACTGTAAAATTTGTTTTAAACTTTTATAAGCAACTTTTCTTTTTTTTTAAAAATGAGATTTTAATTTAACATTGATTTTAATTTTTTTTTTTATTGTTCTTATCATTTCTAATCATCATTCATCATCATACTGTAAAATTTGTTTTAAACTTTTATTAACACATTAATTATATATTTTATATTTTATCATACTAATTGCTTCTAACTCACGTTAAAGGTATAATGTAAGCATGCATTAAGAATGGATTGTTAGAACTTCCACACTTTAGGATGTAAAATAGGGGGAAAAAATTTGAATTATTTATCAACGTAAGGGCAAACTATAATAACTAGAGACTTATGTCTCTAGTTATTATATGATTTTATGTCTCTTTAGTTTTGCCTTAACGTTATAATATTAAAATTAATTCCATGAAAACTTTCCGGAATACATTTTTTAAATGATAATAAAAAAAAACGCATCAAAATCCACCGACTTCTTTTTGAGTTCGGCAAGCTGAATTTTTATAAATATATATAGATATTGAACTAAGACAATATTATTATTGCCACAATTGCCAGGATGCTGCTTTGGGGTGGCAATGGCCAAGCCTACGGTTACAAAATTGAAGCCTCTGTTGATAATGAATATTGGGAAATCCTTGTAGACAAATCTGAGGAGCTGGCACGATCTTGGCAGGTGTTGGACTTTGATGCCAGGCCGATACTGTACATTCGTATTACTGGCTTTCGCAATTCAGTAGGCAAAGTTAGTTCAATTGATGAATGTATTTTTATTTAAAAACTTTTTTATAACTCTTTTTTGCTATAGGATTTTCGTTGTGTATATTTGGAGGCACCAGCTCGAGCTCAAGTCACTTAACACATTCAAAGTATAATTATAGTTTTGGTTATTTTTGCGCTTACCAAGATTGTAAGTTATCAAGTACCTATCTATTTTATTAAATATTTTACTGTTATATTACTTGTATTCACTTAAAATGAAACATTTCGTTTGGTTTTATGATTGATAATAAATGTAAGACTTTTTACAAACTTTTAATTGTGTTTATTCTTGTTCTGTCGTTGTCGAGTCCTGCTAGATTTTAGAAATTTCTGAATAATCATTATTATTTACATTTAGTTATAGAGACTCAGAAATTTATTATTGACAGCTAAAACTTTGTTACATATATAAAAACAATTTTTAAAATCTTTATATTATACTCTTAATATTATATCGTATTATAGAGAAAATACAAAATAAAGTCCTTAAATTTATTTGCTTTATATTCAAAATAAAACCCTCCATTCTGTGTATGAAAATATTCTTAGCATCTTAAAAATGGAATCCTTAAGTTCACGTAGTCGCTGCATGCTGAACTCTTCTTTTTATGTTTTTTAATAATGAAATTGCTGATTCTTTTCTTTTAAGCCTAATAAACTTTAAAGTAAACAATCATAATGTTCGGACCAATCAATTATTTATTATGCATCATTTACCTCAGATCTACAATATGCCAAATCATCCAATAAAATATAATTTAATGTCTCTTGGCGGTAAATTAGCCAAAAATTCTCTATTTATGTGATTTATATTCCCTTTATTGTTTTTATATAAAACTATTTTCTATATTGTATTCAATTATATTCTTATAATGTTCTCTGTTTTTATGTTTCAGTTATTATTTATATATTTGAGGTACTACTGCTATTATTATATTGTACATTCGTCCGTATAATTAAATTAAATACATTAAATAATACATGGAATTTATGGGATTTAGCCAAACTGGATTTCATTCTATGTCACATAATTCCATAAGTGCCAGTGCTTTAGTAGTGTTTGCTTTAAAGGCTTTACTTATAAATACTGATGTCCCTAAGACTTTTCGTTAAGGCTAAAAGTTCATTTTTGTCAATCGTTTACTATGAGATCTTACAAGAAGGCTGTGGTAAATTCAATAAGTAATTGATTCATGTCGTTTACCATTATTTTCAGTTCTTCAAGTCGATCCAAATCTAAATCCGTTCTGAATCGATCCGTATAACCTATCAAGTCTGTTAACTTGGATTATGACTTCGGTTGAGTCACTTAGTATAAAAAGCCAGTGCCAAATGGTGGATACCCAAAAATACCCAAGAATGCCCAAAAGCTATAAATTTGTGTTTAAGGCGCTATCTGCAAGGACAAAAGTTCATCTTCTGTTTTTTTCATTACATCTTGCAATTTACCAATGGTGTTAATGTTATAAATTAGATGCCTATAATATCTTTAAACCTCTCAATAGACGACCGAATATGCTATAACACAAAATATTTAGTTGTAAAAAGTAACCTGGTTACGATTGATTTCGTACGGTAATGACGGTCGTTACCGGCTTTGTTAATCAAACAATAACGCAATGTAGGTCAAAAGTGGACACATTTCTATTCTAAATATTCATAACTTCTGTACTGTAGTAAGCGGGCGATAAATAGACAGTAAAATAAGTATTTTCTACTTCTTCGGTGTTGCATAGACACAAGTGCAAAAAAAACCGCATTTGCCAAACCATGTTATGTTATGACCTTGGATATTATATTCGATCGCACTGTGATAGAAATTTTCCGTTGTAATATTTAAAGGCTTTTTACTAGAAAAATATAAAACCGTGGTTTTGTTTGGTGTTATTGTAACATTTTCTCAGCACTGATGTTTACAAAGGTGTGTTTTTATATTTTCATTACGGACGAGTACATTTTGTCCGGTCATAGGAGCTTGTCACATATAGTTACTACTGAATCATTTGCATAGATAAAATGCTCAGTCTCTTTCCTTATTGGTTAATCATATGTATAAACAATAAGAAAAAGAATTGTATCCAGACCTCTCTACTGAAGTAGGCCATTTTTTTAATCCTACATATTATGGCATAACAGTGAAACTGGTCAAAAGTTGTTTGCGTCATTATTTTTTGGCTGTTTCCCTAGGTTCAAAAGCACATAACACGTGTGCTTTTTTCAATGTTTTGAGTGTTTCGTTTGTCATTACTATTGTGGTAAAGAGCCATTTCCGCCGTTGTCGAGTAATTTTGCGCACGTAATTTATTGCGATATACGCTTGTATACCTTAGTGGAAGTTAGTATTTAAGTAGAAATAAAATACAACAATAATATGATTGAACACAATACTATTAAACATAAAAACACACAGTATAAATATAGAGAATAGTATATACAGCGTACGTTACAGTTATAACAGCGTTCGTAATAGAGTGGTAAATCCAACACCTTAATACTATATGTGATATAATCTAGGTCATAAATGAAATTGGTCCTTGTATTAAACAACTTTTAAATATTACATAATGATTTCTATTTTGTTCGCATTTACTACCATATAAGGTTATACTATTTTTATTACATAGGTATAACATACTTATATTCCATGACCCAAATACATAATATTAGTTATATTCAATATAATTCGTGTTCGTTTTTTGTGAAGCCCACATATATCGTTTTAAAATAGTTGAGTGAGAGGATTGATGTCGGTTTCAAGACGATCCTCTCTATGCTCACTAAATTAGAGCGATTTTAGTTTTTCTCAGTGTTATGCAAAAGGGCATTCAAGGTAAGAAAACGTGCTATTGCAACAACATCTTACCGTTTACTCTAACATTTTAGCGGCAAAATCATTATTTAAATTGTTTTCTAAGATATTTAAATTAGATATCGCCACACGCTTTAAAGCAGCCAAATAAGGTTCACCTACATTGGTATGCATCTCCATAAAATTGTCATCGATTGCTTCGAGTCCAATACATTTCCTCAGGCACGGTAGAAAGTGGATTTGGTTGTAATAAAGAAAGGGCCAGACAAGGACCCCAATTTCCCGAAATCGTACTGGCCAATCTTTTTTTTTTTTTTTAGCTTTTACCAAAAAGTATTACGGCTCGACATCGATAGATATTATTACAATTAATGTTCTTAATAAAATAAAAAGAGAAAATACATTAATTTAACCGAATAAAAATGAGAAAAAAACAAT